TTGCCTTAGTTTCCTCATCTGTAAAATGAGCTGGAGAAGGAAATGGCAAACCACTCCAGTAAAAAAGAAAACCCCAAATGGGATCACGAAGAGTCAGACAGGACTCAACAACAACAACAAGAAACTATATTCAGGATAAATTCAAGATTATTCACAAAGGGAAAACCCTAACATTAAGGGGGATCAGGAAAGGCTTCCTATAGGAGGTGAGATTTTATTTGGGACTTGAAAGAATCCAGGAAAGGTGGAAGGCAGAGGTGAAGAGGGAGAACATTCAGAGAACATTCCAGGCATGGGGGACAGCCAGAGAAGATGCCAGTAATTGAGCGTTGGAGTTTCTTGTTTAGGGAACAGCAAGGATGCTGGTGTCAATGAGGGTTATAAGATGTAAAAAGACGGGAAAGGCAGGAGGGGGCCAGATTATAAAGGGCTTTGGCCGCCAAATCGTCAGGTGTCTTGGCTTCTGTCTTGTGATGACCCTAAAGGAGAAAGTGAGGCTGATGACTTTGCACAGCTCTGCCTCACTTAAACCCAATTCAATTGCAAGTCAAGATGTCACCTTCATGATGTCATCGGTCCTCTTCTAGAAGGAAAGATGAACAATAACTGAAACAGCAACAGAAGCAACAACAACAATAACCAAAGGGAGGATTTTGTATTTGATCCTGGAGGTGATAGGGAACTGATGGAGTTTACTGAGTGAAGGAACTCATGCCACTCCCCAAGATAAAGTGGGGACCTGTGCTTTAGGAAGATCACTTTGACAGTTGAGTGAGTGGAGGATGGACTGGAGTGAGGAGAGATTTGTGATGAGGACATCAACCAAAAGGCTGTTGCAATAATCCAGGTGTGACCAGGGTGGTGGCAGGGTCAGAGGAGAGAAAGACATACATTCAAGAGATGTTATGAAGGCAAAATCAATAGGCTTGGATATGGAGATTGAGAGAGGGGGAGGAGTCAAGGATGACACCTAGGTTACAAGCCTGGGTGGCGGGGAGGATGGTGGTGCCCTCAACCAATAGGGAGGTTAGGAAGATGGGAGGGTTTGGGGGAAAGATAATAAGTTCAGTTTGGGATGAGTTGAGTTTAAAATGTCTATGGAACATTCATTTTGAGATGTCTAAAGGCAGTTGGACGTGTGAGACTAGGGGTCAGAAGAAAGGCTAAGACTGGAAAAATAGATTTGAGAATCATCAGCATGGGGGAATGAAATCACCAAGTGAAATAATATAGAGGGGAAAAGAGAAGGGGGTCCAAGATAGAGTCTATGTGACACCTCACTTAGCAGTATTACACTTTGTGTGTAAACAGAAATCAGAGGTAATTGGGCCCTGACAATAAAGCCAAGGGCATGTCTTGGCTTCTTAGAAAATCAGGACGCATTCATTTATTCACTCCCTAAAGAGTTGTGGACGCCTGCCACACTGGCAAAGCCACTCGGGGATTCCAGGACAGCTGAAGACAGGGCAGAACAAGAACAGAGTGTATAACATATACACTGAGTACAGAAAGTTCCAGGAAAATGAAGAGTCTGTGGAACTAACTGGAGGAGAGAGCTGAAGGGCAGGTTCAGATGGGGCCTTGGCTGGGGTCAGGGTTCAGAGTTCAGTTTTTGGCTGATGTTAAGGCTCAGATTTGGGTCAGAGTTTGGCCCTTGGCTAGGATTAAGGCACAGGTTTGGGTCAAAGACCACTCCTTAGCTGGGGTCAGGGCTCAGGTTTGGGTCAGAGCTCTGCCATTGGCTGGAATCAGGCCTTATTCTAGGGTCAGGGATTAGCCTAGGGTCAAGTTCATGTCTTTGTCTCCGATTGGGAGCTGAATCTAGAATTAGGACACAGTCTAGGGTTGGGGTTTAGTCTGCGGGTGGGGAAATGGAACCAAAGAGAGCTGAATAACCTTGAGTTTGACCTCAGTCGTATTGAACTTCGATTTATGAGGTATAAGCAATCTGAGGGTCTCAAATTCAAGTTCTGGGCCAAATGAGGCCCCTTAGACCTCAGGTATGAGATTTTTCCAAATATATTTTATTTTCCTAATTAGCTGGCACTGTATAGTAAAAAAGGTGAGGGCAGAGAAGAGAAGGAAGATTAGAACAGACAAGCAGGACAACTTTGAAAGCTACAGGCTGAACTCACACACTTAAAAGAAAAGCAAGCTGTATACACTAGAGATCAGGACAATAAAGAAGTCTCTGAACTTGGAATTAGGAGAAACCCAGGTTTAAATCCTGCCTCTGTAAGTAACATAGTAAGTAACTATGTCATCCTCAGCAACTCATTTACCCTCTCTGAGCCTCAGTTTTCTATCTGTAAAATGGAAATCATAGTGTCTGAAGTATATTCCACACAAGGTTGTTATGTGCCCCAAATGAAACTAATAGACTACCTCATTGCCACTGTTTCTTAACTCAGGTGTCATACTTAGATCAACCAATAGTTTTCATTGAAGGTGAATGTGATAATTTGTGGAATTAATCACATGTGGATGTCAGATCTCATGACCCAATTCTGAACAATTTGGATGTTGATGCCAGAAAGCTGAAGTGAAGTGAATTGTCCAAATTAACATAGGGAGTGACAGTCACTACTGGGATGCACTCCCATCTCTTCTCTGTCTCCCCAAGTCCCCAGCTTCCTTCACAACCCAACTACAAGCTTCTACACCTTCTACAGGAGTTTTTTCTGTTCCCTCTTAATGTCAGTGCCTCCCCTCTATTCATTGTTTCCTATTTATCCTGTATGTGACCTGTTTGTCCATGTTTGTTTGCTTATTGTCTCCCCGACTAGATTGTGAGCTCCTTGAGGGCAGACACTGTCTTTTGCCTCTCTTTGTATCCCTAGTGCTTAACACAGTGCCAGATCTTTTTTTTTTTTTTTGTGAGGCAATTGGGATTAAGTGACTTGCGAAGAGTCACACAGCTAGTGAGGGTTATGTGTCTGAGGCCAGATTTGAACTCAGGTCTTTCTGGCTCCAGAACCGGTACTCTATCCACTGTGCCACCTAGGTGCCCTGCCATAGCCTTTTAACCTACAGATTTGTTGGTTCTGATCCTGCATGTTGAGTCAAAGAGGGGTTTGAATTCCAATTCTGCCCCTGACTCACCGTGTGACCTTGGACAAGTCAGTTCAATTCTCCAGGTTTCACTTTCTCCATCTGTAAAATTAAGGGGTTGGATGAGATAATGTTAGTAATTGTTTGACATTTGTATGGCCCTTTAGGTTTGCAAAGCACTTTAAATATGGCTTGGTACAGTGGAAAGAGCGTTGAATTTAGAGGCAGACTACCTGGGCTCTGTCAGTCAATAAACATTTATTAAGCCCCTGCTATGTTTGAGGCACTGTGTTAAGCACTAGGGATACAAAGAGAGGCAAAAGACAGTGTCTGCCCTCAAGGAGCTCACAATCTAGTCGGGGAGACAATAAGCAAACAAACATGGACAAACAGGTCACATACAGGATAAATAGGAAACAATGAATAGAGGGGAGGCACTGACATTAAGAGGGAACAGAAAAAACTCCTGTAGAAGGTGTAGAAGCTTGTAGTTGGGTTGTGAAGGAAGCTGGGGACTTGGGGAGACAGAGAAGAGATGGGAGTGCATCCCAGTAGTGACTGTCACTCCCTATGTTAATTTGGACAATTCACTTCACTTCAGCTTTCTGGGTCTCAGTTTCTTCATCTGTAAATGAAGAGATTATAGTAAATAGACTCAGAGACTGCTTCCTTCTCTAAATCCAAGATTCTATTATCTCATTGGATCATTTACATGATTGCTTGATGTTTGTTACGTTGTTGATGACATTCTGTGTTCTAATGGCCTCCCTAGCTGGCATTCATTGTGCCAAGCAAGTATGTGTACATAAAGCACTTTGCAAACCTTAAAGGGCTACATAAATACCAGAGAATAATAATCTATTATTAGAATTTTCTATGTTCTAAGGGCCCTCCCAGCTCTGATATTCTGTGTCCTAAGGACCCTCTCAAGCCTGACATCCTATGTTCTAAGGGCCCTCCCGGCTCTGACACTCTGTGGTCTAAGGGCCTTCCCAGCTCTGACTGTCTGCAATTCTGTGAGGCCCTTGTTCTGATTGAGAAAGGGAGGGGGGAGAGTTCCTTCTTCTTGTCGGGGTGGGTGGGGGGGTCCAGAGGCCAATGAAAAGCAGGTGGTTTTGTCCTTCTAGGCCACTCACACCTCCGTACTCCCCGTGGCATGGCTGTAGCATGCAGCTGTAGGTACACAGGTTTACAGGTGGCTTGTACAAAGTCTCTTTCCTTCAAAACTTGCCTTTTCTTGGAAGAGAAGAAGGTGAACTGTTGAGGGGAGGGCCTTTGTTTGCTGGGGCCTGTTAGAACAGAGTCCATGGTGGGTGGGAAGCAGGGGAGGGCTGGAGGGAGGCCCTGCTTATAAGGAGGAAGCCTCCAACAGTACCAGCCACTTCCAGACTCCTGGTGCAGCAGGTAGAGATCATAGAGGGTTACAAGGTCTGGGAGAGCTTAGAGCACTTGGTGAGTGCAGTGGCCACACAAAACTCGAGTGCTAGAAGAGACAATGTGGCATAGTGGGAAAAACCACTGAATTTGGGGTTAGAAAACCTGGGTTCAAATGCTGACTGTAACTTACTAGCTATGTGGCTTGGGCAAATCTTTTCCTCCTTCTTGAGCCTTGGGTTTCCCTCGTCAGTAAAAATGAGATGGTTGGATGAGATTGTTTTTATGATTTCTTCTAGCTCTGAATCCTGGTATCTCAAGGATAAATCCTTGACTGTCTAGGAGTTTCTGTTGCATGCCCATGTAAGCACAAAACCCCAAACTGAGTAAGTGTTGAGGTGGGGGGGGGTAAGTAATCAGGGATATAGAGCAGGGGCACCCACTTTCATTTCTCTAGCAAGACTCTAGAACCCAGGAGGACTTCCAGGATTTGGGTCTCCAGGATTCAACCTTACTGCCTCTTTCTCTCTTCTCTATGTGCAGGATTGTGACTCCTTCTCCAGGGAGCCATCAGAATGAATCTCCACCTGCTAACCTGCCTTCTGGTGGCACTGATCCATGCTGTCAGCAGTCAAGGTACCCATCCCCACACGGTCAGGAAGCTGGGGAATCTACCTCCCTGCCACCTTTTCTCAGGACACCAGAGTCTATATGAATCCATCTTGGCTATTAATTTAGTGTGTCCTCACCACACCTGATGGTCACCAAATGTTAGAATTAGGAGAGGAAGAACTCAAAGGGCATCTAGTTCCTCTTGTATCACATAGGATTACCGTCCCCTCCCTCACCAATGACAGATGCAGTATGGTATATCGGATAAGGGCACTGGACTTGACATCAGGACGACCTGGGTTCACATCCCGCCTCAGACACTTACTCTCCCCCTGGGCCAGCCATTTAACCTCTCTGTGCCTCAGTTTTCTCATCTGTTAAGTGAGGGGGTTAGACTTAATGGCCTTTCAGGTGCCTTCCACCTCAAGATCTATGATCCCACGAACCAAAAAAAAAAAACCAAAAACATAAAAATTGCTGATATTTATATAGCACTTAGGATGACAAGAAGTCATTAAGACTCAGTCTGAAGACCTCCAGTGAGAAAGACTGCCATACACTTTTGGACCTCTCCACTCGGCTGCAAGCTCCGCCCCCCCCCCCCCCCCCCCCCCCATGTCAAGCCTCTTTGCATCTTCCCCCAGCTGAATCCTGGTTGCACTCTCTTTATCCCTTTGCCTCTGCTCCTTTCCTCTGCTTTTCTCCTGCCTAGCTGATCAAAGCTCAGCCACCTCCCCTTGGAAGCCTCTTCCCATTTTCACCCCACCCTAATTACCTCACAGCTTTGGACTCTGTACCACCTCAGGTTATCAGGTACAATCTGTTCACTGGGGGATGCCTCTCAATCTCTCCCCTTCCCTTCTCTCCCCCACCCCATTCTACAGCCTCAAAAGACTTTCATCCCCTCTTGATTTTCTTCAAATAAATGGACTATGGGCTTTGAGGCAAACAAAAGGATGAGGGGATGTTGTGAAGGAGTAGCCAAGAAATGGCCATTTAGTCCAGTGCCTTCATTTTGAAGGTGAGGAAGCAGAGACATGGAGTAGTTAAGGGACTTATCCAAAGTCACTCTGCTGCTAAATGAGAGAAGCAGGCTTTGAACCCAGCCTCTCTGACTCCAAAACTGGGGGAGGGGGGGACTTTCTATTGTACCACACTGCCCCTCAAGTTGGGAGACCTGAGTTCTAGTCTCAGCTCCTCCCTGACTTGGGGTATAGCTTTGGGCAAACCTTTTCTCTTTTTTTTTTTAATGTAACTTTTCTCTTAACTGATGTTTATTTTGTCTATCTTCCCCCATTGGGGAAAAACAAAGCCAATCCTTTCTCCATCTATTTCCCCATCTGTAAAATGAGGGGCTAGAGAAGCAGGAATGTGGAGTGGATAGTGCTGTATATATTTTATATTCAATTTTCCATGTGTTCCCGGTAGAATATAAGCTTCTCAAGGGCCAGAACTATTTTTTTTAAATTTTTATATCACTAGTATCTGGCACAGCTCCATGTATATAGCCCATGCTTTGATCTTTGTTTCCCTAGCAACTAGCACATTACTGGGCACATAGTCAATGCTTTAATCCTTGTAACCCTAACATCTAACACAATGTGGGGCACAGAGTCAATGATTAATAAATGTTTATTCAAATGAATTGGATAGGACTTGGAGCCAGACGATCCAACTTCAAATCTTAGCTATAATATTTACTACCTCTGTGACCTTGAGTGGATCATCTTAACCCTCAGTTTCTTTATCTGTAAAACAGGGTAGTTGGATTATAACATTCCAACTTTATTTTTTTTACATAATTAATTTATTTTTTAGTTTTCAACATTCACGTCTATAAGTTCTTCAGTTTTAGATTTTCTTCCCTTTCCTTCTCCAAGATGGCATGCAATCTGATACAGGCTCTACTTACACATTCATATTAAGCATATTTTCCCATTAGTCATGATGTAAACAACAATTCCAGCTAATGGGAAGAACTGCGAGATTGAAGCAATAAAACAAAACAACAAAAGAAAAGGAGAGGAAATAGTATGCTTCCATCTGCATTCGGACTCCATAGTTCTTTCCCTGGATGTGGATAGTGTTTTCTGTCGTGAGTCTTTTGGAGTCGTCTTAGATCCTTGCACTGCTGAGAAAAGCCAAGTCTATCAAAGTCAGCCATTGCACAGTGTGGCTGTTACTGAACTTTCCAACTTTAAATCCAACACTATTAGCTGATTTCTAATGTCCCTTCCAGTTTTTACCAGCTATTCGTCTGTAACTCAGTGATTCTCGGCCCTTGGGGGAATTGATACTGTAGTAGGGAGACTAAAAGAAAAGTGTGAAATCCAGTGCTAAGATATAAGCAGTGGTCATTGAGAAACTGCCTTGTGGGTGAGAGTTCTGGATTTGGAATCAGAAGAGTAAAATTTTGAATCCAAGCTCTGCTACTTACCAATTATATGAATTGAGGCAAAGTCTCTCTCTGGACCTCAGTTTCCTCATCTGTAAAACTTGAGGTGGTGGTGTTCAGACTAGGTCCGTCCCAGCTTTGACATTCTATGGCTTGCCTTAGGCAAGTCCCTTTAACTTCTCTGGGCCCAGCTCCCATGATCCAATGAAGTCCTGAGAGGCAGGAGGAGGAGTGACCAGTGGAGCTCAGAAGGAAGCTGCTAACCTAATTCCCTCTTGTTATATTTCCTCAGAGCCATAACCCTAGGGAAAGCCAGGGATTGAACTTCCATTTTACACATGGGATCCCAGAACCTTCACATAGGACAGGAAAGCTCTGGTTTAGGGGACAGGGCTGAGGAGTTCCTGGATCCTTGGCTGCTTTCTCCCTCGGCCTTTGATCGGGGTAGGGACAGGGACTTCTTATCAGGCCCAGTGTCCTCCATTCTCCCTCGCTTCAAGCCTTATCAACCCAGCGGAGTTGCTGATTATAGGAGGAAAGGCCCAGAGAATAACTTTCAATACCTTTGATCCTCCTGAAGGGAGGAGGGGATAGTCTCTGAACCCAAAATATTCCTCATTGTCTTGGAGTGGAGACTAGAGTTCATTACAATTGTTATAGAATATTTATAGGCTTTCCTCTCAGAGGTCATAAGGCTGGTGGAGTCTCAGTCCTCCAGGAATTCAGTCTGATAGGGAGGCCAGATTCATACACAGGGGAAAAAGTAGTTGCCAATACTTGGGATCATGAAAGAGGTAGTTTTGTATAGAGTGAAAGACTATGAGTTCTGGAATCAGAGGCCCCTGGGTTCAAATCCTGTCTCTCAAACTAATTACCAGTCTCACCTTCTATCTCTGGGTCTCAATTTCTTCACCTGTAAAACAGGCTAGTTAGACTAGTTCAGAGGTTCTCATAGACCCTTTGGAGGTCTGGTGAAGCCCTTCTCAGAATCCTGCTTTTACACAATTGAAGAGAATGTTAAATTTGTTAGTGGTTACTGAAAATAAGGATCTTATTTCCCCCCATGCAAGTTCTCCTAAATATCTGGCATCTGTGGACCCAAAGCCAAGAACCCTTGAACTAAATGGTCTCTTTAAGTTTTAGATAATAATAGCTAGCATCCATATGGTGCTTTAAAGTCAGCAAAGTGCTTTACATATATTGTCTCATTTGATCCTCACAACAATTCAAATCTAATTCAAAAGAAGACAGTGGGGTAGAGTGGAAAAACTGGACCTGGCTTCAGATACTGCCTCAGTCACTATTTGTATGATGCTCATTGAGGCCCTCTCCCTTCCTGGTTTCTAGCTTCCTCATTTATTTATTTTTTAAATTTTGTTTATTTTTTTTAATGAACAAACTTCCTCATTTGTAAGTCAGTATTCCCAGTATTCTAATTCTTTGAAAGAATTTCAGGTTTCCTCCTGATCTTATGCCCTAAAGAAGAGGCAAAGTTGACCCCTGGTATCAATGGGCAGATTGTTGTGAGGTAGGTGCTATTATTATTCCCATATTACAGTTGAAGAAACTGAGGCAGCCAGAGGTTAAGTGACTTGCCCAGGGTCACACAGGTAGTAAGTGTCTGAGGCTAAATTTGAACTTAGGTCTTCCTGACTCTGGGCCCCAAACCCTATCTACTGTGGCATGATCTTATGACTTATGACCTTAGAACATAGGACATAGACCAGAATACCACACCTGGAAGAGACCCTACATGTCCCTTAGTCCAACTTTTTCATTTTATAGATGAGGAAACTGAGGCTGGGATGTATGTGTCTTGACAATGACAGAGCTGGGATTAGAACTCAGGTTTTCTGACTCTAAACCAGGGTTCTTTCCTAGAGGCCAAGTGTCCTGGTTTTACAGAGGAGCAGGAGGGGCTTGATTTGGGCCTCCTGAAGGAAATTCTTGCTCTTCACTCAACTGCCACCCCACCAAACAACCCCCTGCCTCGCCCCTGGTTGGCAGCTTATCTGAGTTTCATGCCTTTTCCTACAAAGAGCTGAAAAAGCTGCTGCTGGGCGGTCCCTCTCCCTACCCCCCCCATCCCATTATTAGTAGCAGGAGATGGTGGTTTGGGGACAACCTCTTCATTCTTACCTACACTTCCACTCCCCTAGGTCCAAAGACAGGTCCAGAAGGCAGGGCTGTAGGAATGAGGGGGTCTTGACCCTGACCTTCCTTGTGTCCTGGCTCAAAAACCAAGTATCTACCACTCACTCTTAACCCATTTGGGTTAGAGGATTATAGATTTCAACCTAGCAGGGCCCTTTGAGGCTATAGAGTTTAAACCTGCTCCCCGCCCTCATTTTACAGATGAGGAAACTGAGGCAGACAGAAGTTAAGTAACTTGCCCAACGTTACACAGCTAGTGTCTGAAGCAGGATTTGAATTCAGCTTTTCCTGACTTTAGGGTCAGGGTTATAAGTACTGGACTATCTAGCTGCCCTCATAGTGCAGATGGAAATCAGAGCTAGGGGAAAGGAGTAGTAGTAGGGAGCTTTGGGGAGGCTTGTAACCAAGGAGTTAATTCAAAAGAAGACAGTGGGGTAGAGTGGAAAAATTAGACCTGGCTTCAGATACTGCCTCAGTCACTTACTGTTTGTATGATGCTCATTGAGGCCCTCTCCCTTCCTGGTTTCTAGCTTCCTCATTTATTTATTTTTTTAATTTTGTTTATTTTTTTTTAATGAACAAACTTCCTCATTTGTAAGTCAGTATTCCCAGTATTCTAATTCTTTGAAAGAATTTCAGGTTTCCTCCTGATCTTATGCCCTAAAGAAGAGGCAAAGTTGACCCCTGGTATCACTGGGCAGCCTTCTCTGTTCCAGTTCCTTGGGGGCATGAGCTTTATCCCTTCCTTCCTCTCTGACCCCCAGCTCCCCATGTTTACCAGGTTCCCAGTGCACTGAACATGGGCAGCAAAGACTGACTCTAACTTGGGTCACTTTCCTATGGTCTCTCTTGAGAGGGATAGTCACGGAGGGGCAGCATTAGGGAGTGGAGAAGATGTGATGAAATGAACATAGCAATGGGCTTAAAAGGAGGAGACCTGGTCTGAAATCACAGCGAGATCACAGGTTTGGGGCTGGATTTGAGGTGTCCTCCATCTGTTCCCCACTCTGACATCCTGGAAGTGTGATTACCTTTTCCAACTCCTCATTTGACCGACCGGCAGACTAAAACAGAGACATATTTCTAGGCCTTAAAGACCTATGCTCCATCCACTGCCCTTGATGAGTTCATATCATCTGGGTCAGTGGACTGAAAAGATTGGCAGAAAAGATTGTTGAGCTATTGTCAGTGACCTTTGAAAGGTCCTGGAGAAGGGACACGAGAGAGTACAGAGAGGCAGCTAGGTGGCACAGTAGATGGAGCATTGGTCCTGGAGTCAGGAGAACCTGAGTTCAAATCTGTCTTTAGACACTTACTAGCTGTGTGACCCTGGGCAAGTCACTTAATCCTGATTGCCTCAAAACATAATAGAGGGCAGATACCCTTATTGTCCAAAAAGATAATAGTAATAATAACAATAACAACTCATTTGTACTAGGTCACCCAGGTATTCAGTAAAAAGTGGCAGGATTTCTACTATGACATTCTCCCTCTCAAGAAGAAAAGAAGAGAGTGGGGGGTGGAGACTTTGATTTTTTGGTAAAATTCTCCATAGAATTATTAAAGGGAGAGTTGGAGAACATCTAGAAAAGGAAGCTGGGCTCACAAAGAGCCTATGTGGCTTCGTCAAGCACAGGTTATGCCAGATTAATCTTACATTTTTTGAAGGGCTTGGCCCTACACTATTTAACATTTTATCTGCGATTTGGATAATGGCAAAGTTGGTGTATTTATCAGTTTGCAGATTACACAAAGTTAGGATGACTAGCTCCCACACTGGATAACAGGATATGTAAAGCTCTTTTACAATCTAGAACAATAGACCAAATTTAATAATTTAATAAGGATATATTTAAAGTCTTACACATGGGTTAAAAAAATCAATCCCACATGGTCAAGGCATGGCTAGATAGTAGTTTTCCTTAAAAAAAAAAAAAAGATCCAGGTCTAAGACAATTCCAAAAGACTCATGATGGAAAATGCTATCCACATCCAGAGAAAGAAATATGGAGTCTGACTACATATCAAAGTACATCATTTTCTCTCTCTCTTTTTTTTGTTTCTTCTTTCCTCATGGTTTTTCCCTTTGGTTCTAATTCTTCTTCTTTACTGCATGACTAATGTGGAAATATGTTTAATATACTTGTATATGTATAGCCTATATCAGATTGTATGCTGTCTTGGGGGGGAAGCAGAGGGAGGGGGAGAAAATTTAAAACTCACAATCCTATAGAAATACATGTTGAAAACTAAAAACAAACAAACAAACAAATAAATAAAGACATAAAAAAAGATCCAGGGATTCTAGTGGGTTCCAAGCTCAATGTGAGTCAGCAGTGGGACATGGCATCCTAAAAAGTCAATGCAATTTTGTTTGATTTGTATTTGTTGGTTGTATTAAGAAACGAGTATGTCCAGAATGAGCACAGGGTGTTAGTCCCTCTGTCCTGGTGATTCCTCATCTAGAGAGCTGCCTTCAGTACTTGGAGACCATTTTAGAAAGGACCTAGATAAAGTGGGGAGTGTCCAGAGAATAGTGACCAGGATAGTGTAGGACTTTGAGATCATCCCATATAAAGGACGGGTGAAGAATGTAGTGATTTAATCTGAAAAAGAGAAGACTTGGGAGAGGAGCAATCAGAGAGTTATAGATTTAGAGCTGGAAAGAACTTAATAGGTACTAAGTCTAAGTGCTTTATTTGGCAATTGAGGAAACAGATCCAGAGAGGTTGACTTGTACAGGCACACATAGTGAGTAAGTGCATTCCAAGTTGAATCTTCAGGAGCTCTACCCACTACACCATGCTGCCTCACAATGGGGACGTTGTTAGGATCATAGAGTTAGACCCAATAAGAGACCTTAGACACTATTGAGTCAAAGCTCCTCATTTTAGAGGTGAGGAAACTGTAGGTCAGAGAGGGTAAAAGTGACTTAATCATGGTCACATAGTTAGTAAATTCTGTACTCCAAGATAGTAAATTATGACTCCAAGAGTCCATCTCTACTCTATTCACTGCACCATGTTGACTCTGTTATCAAACATTGTAAAGGCTCTCATAGGGAAGAGGGTTTAGCTTTGTTTTGCTTGGCCCCAGGGAGCAAAACAAGGCATAACAGGTAGAAGTTGCAGAAGCAATTCTGAGTTCCTACAGAAATAGTGAATTGTAGTGTATGGAATGCTGAACTTGGAGTTAGGAAGACATGGGTTCAAATCCTGTTTCAAAAACCTGTATAGTCATGGCTGAGCCTCAGTTTCTTCACACGTAAAATAGAGGTTAAAAATGTCATCCCGATTTCACTTTGTTATGATGCTCAATGAGGATGTATGGAAAAGCTTTATAATCTTTAGATAGCTATATAAATTATAGTTATTATAAAGGAAAAAAAGATTTCCTAATCATTAGAGATGCTCGGAAAAGGAATGGCAATGGACTGCCTCAAGAGGTAGTGAGTTTCCCTTCACTGGAGGTCTTCAACTGAGGATTGGATGGTTATTCATTGGGAATAATATAGTTGATCCATTACAGGTTGAACCAGATAGGCCCTAAAGCCTGGATACCTTTGTACTCCCTGAGATCCTATGATCCTAGCTTTTGTTCCTGACTCCTGTGTGACTTTGCCCAAGTCCCTTCCCCTCCCTGAATCTCATTTCCTCATTAGCAAAAGGAGGTTTGTTGGACCGATGGTATCTTGTACCTTCTGCCTCTAAATCTTTTGTTCCCCTGCCTTCTAGGAAATGACAGTCAGAAGTCCTGACCTGGAAGTCAGGAGGCCTGGGTTTTCATTCCATTTCCACTAACTATGTGAGCCTGGGCAAGTCCCTTTCCTCCTCAGGGACTCAGTTTCCCCATCTGTAAAATGAATGCATGCAACTAGCTATTTCTTCTAGTTTGGACTCACTGATTCCATGGTTCTAACCAATGGTCCTTGGGGGGGGCCACGTTGCCCATAGGCACCTATGAAGACTGCTGTTTGAAATATACCAAGCACAGGAAACCTGCCTTCTTACGGCTTATCAGGCAATACAGGATCCAAGAGGTGAATGGGAGCTGCAATCTGCGAGCTGTCATGTGAGTGTCCTATTGATTGTATGACCTTAGGAAATTCCCTTCCTTTCTCTGGGCCTTTTTCCTCACCTGTCTAACACTGGGAATGGAATCAGTGATCTCTAAAATCTCTTCTCCCTTGGATTGATTCTATGACTCTAAACCTGCCCACCCAGTTCTAGGATAGCACAGAGGGATTTGGAGTAGGCAAGAGAGGAGAAAAGTCCAGCCATGGGCATAAGGCTGCCTAGGCTTGTGTCTGTTCCAGTACAATCCAAGGGCCTGGGGAAGGGCCAGAGACTAAGGCTCCTAGTAGGTTGGGCCATATTGGAGGAGTAACAGTAAGTAACTGAGGCATAGACCAGCCAGCCAAAGTAGGGGGAGAGAGCCATGGGCTGATGAAATTGGCCCTCCTTCTCCCATAGTCCAAGGCTGGGTAAAGCCACCTCTGCATTGGAGTATACTTATAGATGGACGTGTAGGCCCCTCCCCTGCCCTATTAGACTAGAAGGTCCTTGAGGGCAGGGGCAGTTTCTGCCTTTCTTTTTGTCCTGAGTACTTAGCACAGTGCCCATGCTTAATGCTTAGTGATTGATTGATTGATCAGAACTCATAGTTCTGTAGTCCACTCATTTAATACCCAGACCTTCTTATATATTTATTTTTCTTCTTGGGGTAGGGAGGGATGGACTGACAAGAAGAAGAAACTTTAGCTTATTTCAATGCTGTAGGAAGGCTTCCTTCCATTCCCCACCATGCCCACTGTTATCCTAGACTCAGAAGAGCCCTTTTCCTCCCTGGTTCCTTCCCAGGGGCTAGACCCCTCTCTGGAAGGGTAATGGGCTTATTCTCCTCAATCAGAGCCCCTCCCCCACAATCCCACCTACAATTTTGATCACTTGATGTGCTGGACCCCTCCTCCTAGACATTCAAGTGCCATTTACTGGTCCTCTAAGTCTCTTGACATGCAACTCCTTGACACTCTGCCATGCCCCCTCCCCCCACTTTTGCTTTCCTATTCCTTGAACACCAGACTTCCAAGTCCTCAGACTTCCTAGTCCCAGCCCCTAATTCCTTGAATTCTGCTCCTTTTGGCCTCAAATCTCTCAGTCTCCAGACTCCCAGGCCTTATTCTTATTGTCTTCCAGACTTTCAGCATCCAATTTTTCTGATTCTAATCCCTGGTCTTGCTGGTTCCTCAAATCTTCAAGTCCTTAACCCTTTGGTCATTGTGTGTCTTTGACTCCAAGTCCACAGTACCCTTTTTCCCAGATGCTGGTACTCTAAGTCTCTACTCCCTTGCCTACTGATCCCCAGAGTCCCTATTTCCAGCACCTGTCCCTCGTGTCTCTAGGACCCCAGCCCCTCCATCCCCTTCATCCCCTTGCCTCTCAAACTCCAGACTTCAAGTGATCTGGTTCCATACCCCTGGTCCCCATCCCTAGGCCCTCCCGTGCTAACTAGTGACTCATCTCATTTCAGCTTTGAGTTTCGGAGGAAGAGCAATATCATTTGTGGCAACCCTGATGACAAATGGGTTAAGGATAAGATCAGAGAGCTGCAAAGCAGAGCCCACCGGGTCTACTGGAAGCTCAGAGAGGACATCAAGAAGGACCGTGGAGGTGGGTGAGAAACGCCATAGGGTCTAGGAAGAGAAGTGTGTAGCCTATTTTTTTCTATTCAGATTCATGTTTAATTTTTTTTTTTTTTAGGCTATTGGGGTTAAGTGACTTGCCCAGGGTCACATAACTAGTAAGTGTCTAAGGTCAAATTTGAACTCAGATCCTTCTGACTCCAGGACTGGTGCTCTGTCCATTGCGCCACCTAGCTGCTACCATGTTTAAATTTTTAAAAATTTACCTCTTAATTTATTGACATCTATTGTTTTTATATTCCATTAGACTGTGTGCTCCTTGAAGGCAAGCACTCTGCTTTTGCCTTACACAGAGGCACATTAAGAAATGCTTAGTGACTGACACATCCCCTTTATTTCCAAATATGTTCCTCTCCCCTCTTCCTAACCCTTTTAACAAAAGAACATTTATTCTTCAATCATTGTACCCCATTCCTGAGAACAGGGAATCAATGTATAATTTCTTAACTTCCCCCCACCCCATGGCCAACCTTAGTCATTATAATTTCATAGTACTGAGTTTCATTTTTTTCCCTTTCCATTTATATTGTTGCCCTATTTTCCTGGTTTTGCTTACTTTACTCTGCATTAGGTCATACGTCTTCCCATGCTTCTCTGGATTTTTCATACTCATTATTTCTTATGACGTAGTAATATTAAATTATGTTCATGTACCATAGTTTGCTTAGTCATTCCCCAACCAATGAGCATTTACTTTGGCTTTAGTTTTAGTTTTTTCCCTATCATCTCTCTTGAGAGTCCTGGATTACTTAGCTACGATCACAGGGGCTGGGGCAGCAGGGTGGAAGGATTATATATTTACTTTGTCCTTCTTTCCTTCCTCCCTCTCTCCCTTCCTTCCTTCCTTCCTTCTTCCTTCCTCTTTCCCTCATTCATTCAACAAACATTTATTAAGTCAAGTAAAGAAAGCATTTATTAAGTGCCTACTGTGTGCCAAGCATTGTTTTGCGGATACAAAGAAAGGCAAAAGACAGTATCCTGTTCTCAAGGAGCCCACAATTTAATGAGTGAGTCAACAAGCAAACAATTATGTACAGAAAAGGTTTGTACAGGACAAATAAGAAATAATCAACAAAGGGAGAGCAGTAGAATTAAGGGGAAATGGGAGAGGCTTTGTGCAGAAGGTATGATTTTAAAATGAGACTTGAAGGAAGCCAGTGTAGCACAAAGATACAGGGGTCAAGGTGTAAGAAGACTGGAGAGGTAGGATAGGTCCAGGTTATAAGGGGTTTTAAAAGCCAGATAGAGGACTTTATATTTGATTCGGGAAGTAATAGGGAGCCACTGGAATTTTTTGGGGGGGGAGGTGTTGCCTGTGACATGATCAGATCAATTTGACAGCTAAATAGAAGACAACTCCATTTATGAACAACCTGATGTGTGCAGAGTTACAGGGTTCATAGTCTAGTGGACCTGATAAAACATATACATGATGAAAATTAGGACATGATCACTGCAAAAGAGTACAGCCTGCTAAGAGGCTGGATGAAGGAAAGACCAATTCTGCCTGGCAGATGGGGTGGAAAATCAGAGGAGACATCTGGAGGTGGTGACATGGGCCTTCCATTTCTAAATCCCATGGCACCAAGGGAGAACAGGAAAATGTGGCCTCTTAGTCCCAGAGGGCTTCCTGGAGGAGTTAGGTCCTGAAAATCCATCTCACACTTCTACTTTTGGCCAGATACAACTGCCTTCCCAGTTTTTGGCCAAAAGTAGAAGCGGGCTTTGGGAGTACATGTAGCAACTACTGGGGTGGAGAGGAGGAGGATAGATGAAGGAAGCTTTCCCAGGCAGGGAGCCAAGAGACCTCTGCTCCCACTCATCAGCTTCAGGAAGAAAAGTAGCCAAGAGGAAATCACAAAATGCCAGGGGAATACATGGAGCCCTGGGCAAAATGGTGAAATAGGTGTGTGCAAGGGCAGAGTCAACACTCGCTCCGGGTTCATTTACAAGGACTTTGTTGGACAAAGAGTTTTTCTAGACATGGGCCTTTTTGCTGGAAGGGAGAGGGGCATTGGACTCCAAGTCAGGAGATCTGGGTTCAAATCTCCTTGAGCGAATCATTTCATCTTTGTGGACCTCAGTTCCCTCAGCTATCAAATGAGCTTAGCATAGTGCCTGACACATAGTAGGTGCTTATTAAATTTTTTTGATTGATTGATGAGAGGGTGGATTAGATGACCTCTGAGGTCCCTTCCTCAGGAAGGAACTGCCTAGAGGTGTCTGGTGGCTCAGTGGGTAGAGCACTGGACCTGGAGTCGGGAAGACCTGGCTTCGAATTTAGCCTAGGATACTTATTAGCTTCATGACCCTGAGCAAGTCACTTAACCTGTGCTTGCCTCAGTTTCCTCAACTGTAAAATGGGGATCATAATAGCATCTACCTGCCAGTATTGTTGTGAGGATCAAATGAAATTTTATAAAGCTCTTAGCATATGGCACACAGTAGGCACATTAATAAATACTTATTCCTCTCTCCGGATTCCCTTTCCAGCTTTATGATCCTTGAAGGATATATAGGACATCAGTCAGCCAAAAAAGGAAGGGGTAGGCATTCCTGTCTCAAAGAATGACATTAGCAAAGGCCAGGGGGCCAAAGAGTATGGTACGTATTTCAGGGGTTGGTGAGGCATGCAGCTTGGCCTGAACGGTAGGGTATAACACAGATCAAGGTTAGGGCAGGAGCTTAGAGGGCCTTGAATGAACAGCAAGCTAAGGAATTTGGATTTCCTCCAGACCATGGGAAGCTAGGTGTCTCAGTGGTTAGAGCGGTGGGCCTGGGGTTAGGAAGAGCTTAATTCAAATCTGGCTGTGTGACCCTGGACAAGTCACTTAACCGAAGTCTGCTTCAGTTTCCTTAACTGTAAAATGGGGATAATCGTGGCATTGACATCCCAGGGATCTTGTGAGGATAGAATATTTGCAAAGTACTTTGCAAACTTTAAAGTGTGTGTAAATGGTAGTGATTGTGATGATAGAACAATTAGGAGCAGAGGAAGGATGTGATTATATGGGTGCGTTATTTGAATGAATGGCACCCTAGACCTGTCCAGGCCATGCAAGCTTGGGGCATTTTTTTGTCCAGGCTGGCTTGTTAGGGTGCTTTTCTTCCCCTAGGATTCCATAGACAAGTCTCCACTGACCTTTAATCCTCTGGGCCTTTTCATGTTCCCAACTGGATTTCTTCTTCCTGGCTCCCTGCCCAGGGAACATAATGGGAGACAGATGGATAGACAGACCACCAACTTATAGAGATGCTAGAGACTTACAGAGATGCTAGAATGACTAGAGTGTCACAGCTATTCCTTGTCTTCACTGGGGGCTAAGGGGGGGTCAGAGCTGTTAGGCCTTCGGTTTAACCCCTGCTTGGCTTGTTTTCTTGAGGGGAAGGGGAATTGGTGCTTAGTCATCCATTCATTCATATATTCATTGAACAAACATTCAGCCAACCAGCCACTGTGTGCAAGGCCTTATTTTTGGAACAAGGGGAGAGTCAACATATCGCCAAGCCTTGATCTCTGCCTTTAGGGTCTTCAGGAAGGAGGGTTCTTTCTTAGTGACTGCGCTTCGGTCTTTTTTCAGGCGACAGTGGGTTACCGTACTGAATTGTGAAGAGAAGGAATGAGTAGAGATGACAGCTGATCGTGCAGGGTTCAGCCCTTGCCTGGGGCACCTCGAGTCACTTGACTAGGGGGGTTGAGTCTCAGCCAGTATGTCATATGATCATAAGACTGTGGATTTAGATCTGGAAAGGACCCTAGGGGCCATCAAGACCAACCTCCTGATTTTACAGATGAGGCAAAGGAGTCCTTGTCCCCACATACTGAGATGGCTGAGGTTTTTATAACGCTTTAAAGTCACAGGTCACGGATCTAAAGCCATAAGGGAGCTTAGAGGTCATCTAGTCCAACCTCCTTGTTTTATAGATGGAGAAACTGAGACTGGAGAGGTTAAGTGATGTGCTCAGGGTCCTACAGTGAGGGAGGAAGTGTCTGAGCCAGGTTGTGAACCCAGGTCTTCCTGACTTTTCAGTACTGATGGATGACCTTGACCCAGACTGTCCTAACTCCTAGGCCAGGTCTTAATTTAGTCTGTCATGATGACTAGTCATTGGTAGTGGAAGTCCCTCAAGCATGTGAGATCACGGGTCTGGACCATGAAAAAAAATGAGGGGGAGAGAGAGAGAGAGAGGGAGAGAGAGAGAGGGAGAGGGAGAGAGAGAGACAGAGAAAGAGAGAGACATAGAGACAGAGAGAGAGGGAGAGACAGAGAGAAGAGAGAGACAGAGACAGAGAGAGACAGAGA